TCAGTTGAGGGACACTTAGGTTGCTTCCATCTCTTAGCTATTGTGAAAAGAGTAGCAACAAACATGGATGTACAAGTGTCTCTGCAATAGGATGAGTTCTTTGGGTATATGCCAAGGAGTGGTATAACTGGGTCAAATGGCAGGTTCATTTGTAGTTTTTTAAGAGTTCTCCACACTGCTTTCCATAGGGGTTAAACAAGCTTGCAGCCCCACCAGCAGTGGATGAGTGCTCCCCTTTCCCCACATTCTCTCCACATCCTCTCGATCTTAGCTAGTCTGACGGGGGTAAGATGAAATCTTAAAGTGCTTTTAATTTGCATTTCCCTAGTTACTAATGACATTGAACACCTTTTAAGATGCTTCTTGGCCGTCTTAATTTCTTCTTTTCAGAACTCTCTGTTCAGCTCCTTAGCCCATCTTTTTTGATTGGGTTACTTCCTGTCTTGATTCTTTGTTTTTTGAGTTGGTTATATATTCTGGCTGTTAAACCTCTGTCAGATGTGTCGCTGATGACAATTTTCTCCCATTCTGTGGGTTTTCTCTTCACTTCCTTGGTTGCTTCTTTTGACGTACAGAAGCTTTTTAGTTTAACGAGGTCCCATTTGTTGATTCTTGACCTTGTTTCCTGAGCAATTGATGTCCGGTTTAGAAAATCCTTTCCTACACCTACATCTTGCAGGTTATTGCCAATGTTTTCTTCTAACAGTTTCAGAGTTTCAAGCTTCACATTGAGGTCTTTGATTCATTTGGAGTTGACTTTTGTGCAAGGTGAAAGACGGGTTTAGTTTTATTCTTCTACAGGTGGAGATCAGTTTTGCCAGCATCATTTGCTAAACATGCTTAAACAGCAATTTTTTTTTTTAGATTTGATAAATGTTTATAGCATATTTCATCCAACAGCTGTGGAATATACATTCTTTTCAGCAGTCCAGGTAACTTTTTCTAAAATAAATCATATTTTTTTATTCTTATTCTTTTATGAAGTTAGTTAAAAATTAATGAACAAGAAATTAAAGAGACTGCGCTGCAATTAAGTTAGAATATTCTAACTGGAAAACAATTACTGTGAAACTATTTACATTCTCATAGAATTATAAACATTTCTCAAGGAATACTTTACAGCACAACTTTTTTTTTTCATACAGAAGAATTCATTCCAAAGCAATTGACATTGAGACGTTTTCACATGCATTTCTAATCTCTATCTGCATGACTATCACTGATCACAGTCGCCCACCTTCTGAGCTCCTCGGCATCTGAGCATGAATACAAACTCGTCAGATAGACAGACTTCCTCTCCCACTAGAGGCTCCATACTCTGCCATCTCTGTCACTGTCCACTGTGTTGTCAGCACCCTCATCCATTCCCCCCTGTCTGCCCTTCTGGTAAATCTAGTCAGCCAGAGGTCCCTGTTCCAGGAGGGTCAGCTAAACAGCAATTTTTAAAGTACCTCATTCTGGGCGGCGGAAATGCCTCAGTGGGTAAAGTGCTTGCTGCGCAAACAGGAAGGCCTGAGTTCAGATTCCCCAGCACCCACATAAAAGCTGGGTACAGTAGTGTGTGTCTGTAATCCCAGCATTGGATGGTGGAGACAGGAGCTCTCTGGTCAGCCAGCCCAGCCAATAGGGAGTTCAGGGTTTAGTGAGAGACCCTGTCTCAAAACATAAGACAGAGCAATATAGGAAGACAGCATAATCCTCTGTCCTCCACATACATGTGTACATTGATGGACACCCACATGCACACGCACACACACAGAAACACACACACCCGGCGTGGTGGCACACACTTTTAGTCCCAACATTCGGGAGACAGAGGCAGACGGATCTATGTGAGTTCAAGGCCAACTGGGGCTACAGGGAGATCCTGTTTCAAAAAGACCAATAAATAAATAAATAAATAAGTAAATAAATAAATAAACAATACAATCCCAAAATACACTAATACGATACATGCTGAGAAATGATGGTTTAGAAATACTGTCTTTGTTGTCGAGATTAAGTCATTATGTTTCTGTGAGAGCAGAAAACTCTGTATGTGCTTCAATAGCTTCAAATCTGAGCCAAGCTGTGTCAGGCAGGACAGCAAACACAGAGCAAAGCACATGTGTGTTCAGAATTAAGGCTGCAGTGACATCACAACACAGCATGGGTGAGTGCTACCAGGATCGTTACATGTTTGATTTTGGTCTGACGTGGGTGCTGGGACTCGAATCCAGGTCTTCTGCAAGAACAGTCAGTGTTCTTAACCGCTGAGCCATCTCTCTAGCCCCATGCAGTGATTTTTAAAAGTCAACTAAAAACTAGGGTGACTAGAAGCTTATTTAACTGCTCCCTCCGCACTCCGGAATGGGTTGTATGGCTGATCCTGCAGTTGCCATCTTCATCCAATACAAACTGCAACACGGTTCTATCAGCTAAAACTCGCTGCCCCTTCCGAGCCCCAGTGAGTTGGAGAACGCGGTCCCCAGGAGCCTCTGTCCTCAACTCTGTCCTGCAGGGAGTCGCAGAAGGCTTTTCTTGAGGGCAGTGGGAAAGGAGGGAACTAGCCACTGTCTGGTCCACATCCCATTGGACAGTTGTCACGCAAAGAAGGCTGGGACGTGTAGTCCGGCTGTGAGTCCTGAAGGTGATCTGCCTGGGAGGGCCTGATGTGCTGTGGGATACAGAGGACTGGGGCAGGCAGACAGAATGGAGAGGGAGGGATGAGGGCTTGCTAAGGGAGAACCACCTGTTTTCAGGTGGCATTTGCTGTGGGGCAAGTGACCAGGGCAGATCTGGTCCTGCAAACCGCAAATCATAGTCTCCTGCTCTCCAGGGAGGGTCCACAGAGGTGGTTCTGGGAAACGCTGTCCCACCAGGGGCACCACTGGGCTGAGAGGCAAAAACCTCACTTTGTTCACACTTCCTTCCCAACCCACACCTGCTCTATTATCACCTCTTTTGTTTTTTGATTTTAGAGAGCAGAGAGGCTAAACACCTGCCCCAGCTCACCATCCAAGCCCCAGGGGTCTAATTCTGAGTATGCTGACCTTGACCCCCTCCGGGAGCTGTGTCTGTGAAAGCCAGTTTCCCTCCCTGAAAACGGACTCAAAAGTCCCCCGTGAGGCCTGAGGTCCACGGGTCGTCCCAGAAGGTTTCCTTGTGGCAGCCGAGACGACAGCGGTCCCCAAGGCAGACGGCGGTGCAGAACGAAGGCCACAGGGCCACCAGGGCAGACCAGCGCTGCGCTGCGCACTCCCGCCGACAGAGGGAGCCGCGAACACGGAAGTGGGTGGCTCAGCCAGTCCGGGCCAAGTCCTGCCAGTCCCGCCATGGGGCCGCTGTGCAGGCCGCTGCTGCTCGGCCTGCTGCTGCTGCTGCTGCTCCTGCAGCCACGAGCTGCCCGGCCCGCCGGCCCCATCCGGGCCTTCGTGGTGCCCCACAGCCACATGGACGTGGGCTGGATCTACACGGTGGAGGTAGGTGCACCCCTGCACCGCAGCTGCCCCTGCACGGTGCACCCCGGCCCGGCCCAGGACCCCAGCGCACCCCGCCTGGGTGCCAGCCCCCTCCCTGCCCTGCTGCCCGAGCTCCTCCCTTGGACCGGCCACTTCCTGTCCCAAGCAGCTTCTTGTTGGTTGAGCCCCTGCATTCCAGCCAGGGCGGGGAGTGGGGCTCCCCTGTGTGAGGGGCTGATGGATAAGCTGTCTCCTAAGTCTGGAGCAGGAAGGGGTGGGGGTGGCTTCCTGAGCAAGTGGATGTCAGCTGACTTGCTAGGAAGTGGGCTGGTCCTCTTGGGGCTGACCCCGGGACCAGTTCAATGTCCCCTGAGCCCACAGACGCGATTCTGCACAGGCTTTGCGTCCGCTGCCTCAGTTTCCCCATCTGTAAAGTGGGAGCTGTGATTCCTACTGCATACCCATGAGGCCTGGGTGCTCTGGAGGTGGTGGGTGCCTGGGACGCTTGTTCCTCTTGGCTCACCTCCCTGGGGCTGCTGTGATGTCGTCTGCCTCCCCAGGAGAGCATGCGGGCCTACGCAGCCAATGTCTACACCTCGGTGGTGGCAGAGCTGGCCCGCGGAAAGCAACGCCGCTTCATCGCAGTGGAGCAGGAGTTCTTCCGGCTGTGGTGGGACAGGGTGGCCTCTGAGCAGCAGAAACGCCAGGTAAGTCAGGACAGGCTGACACAGGTCCCTGGGTATCCCAAGTATCCCAGGGAAAAGCCCTGCTGGAAACTCGGTAGGGGTTTCCAGATGTGGTCAGAGCTATGCCTGCTGTAAAACACAAGGTTTATGCTCAGGGCGCTGTCCAGGACTAGGTGATCTGCAATGCTGCCTTTCTGACTGCTCTTGAGATTAAAAAATACCCTGCCCCCCACACCCTGTGGGCTGGAGATATGGCACAATGATTTAGACCGCATGCTGTGCTTCCACACCCACGCCAGGCAGCGAACAAGGCCTGTGACCCTGACTCCAGGGGAATCCCAGGTCTGTGATCTCCAAGGGCACCTACACTCACTTGCACATACCCACATATAAACACACAGAAAAACAGACAAACACACACATATGCACACAATATTTTATTTTATGTATATGAGTGTATTGCCTGCATATATGTAAGTGCGGAGGTGTTCGTGCATTGCCCCTGGAGGTCAGAAGAGAGCATCGGTTTCCTTGGTTGTTAGCCACCATGCGTTGGGAATCTATCCCAGGTCCTCTGCAAGATCAGTCAGTGCTCTTAACTGCTGAGGCAACTCTCCAGCCCCTTAAAAATTAAAAAATAGCCAGGTGTGGTGATGCACGCCTTTAGTCCCAGCACTCAGGAGGCAGAGGCAGTGGATCTCTGTGAGATCGAGGCCAGCCTGGTCTACATAGTGAGTGTCAGGCAAGCTGGGACTACAGGGAGACTCTGTCTCAAAAATACCCAAAATTAATTAATTAATTAATTAACTAACTAACCAATTAATTAAGCCAGATGTGGTGATATATGCCTTTAATCCCAGAACTTGAGAGGCAGAAGCAAGAGGCCCTCTGTGAGTTCTAGGCCAACTGGGTCTCTGTAGCACATTCCAGGCCAGCCTGGGCTACACTGTGAGAACTTGTCTCAAAAATTGTTTATGAATTAATTAAAGTAAAAATCTCCCTGTAAGCCAGCACCCCTTCCGAAAAGACAGCAGGTGCTGGTACTAAATCAACATCCAGGTGCCCTGAGCCTTGCCCTCCCCCCATTCACACATGCTGCCTGGCCCTCCTGGTGGCCTTGACAGGGGTCCCTGTGGCTCAGGAGTTGGCAGCAGCTTGCTTTATGCAGTGCAGAAACCCTGGGCAGGCTGGCGCTCGGTTCTGCCTCGGTCACTATCACTGCTCTCTGTGAACTGCAGCTCCCACCTCTATAAATGGGGTGACTGCCCCCTTCTTGGACAGGTCCTGGCCAAGAATGGCTCTGATACTTAGGAGCTCTTAGTTTACTCTCCAGCATTCACCTTTGAGAACAGCTCTTGGACATGAGCTTCAGAGAAGCTAAGCAACTTGCTCAAAGTAGTAAAGCTAAGCAGACAGAGTGGGAGTCTGCCAGGTCTTACTGGGGGCCAGGGTGGGAGTCTCTTAAGGCTGAAGCCTGTCAAGTCATGATGCATAGCCTCATGTTTGAGGCCACCTGCATGTACCAGCCATGAGGATTGTTATCCAGACTTAATAGAGGTGGTCTGGGCTCAGAGAGGGCGATGGGTACATAGCTTATGAGTGGCAGATGGGATTTTGAGCAAAGCCTCTCTGACTTCAGAGCATGCCTCTTCAGGGTGTCCAGTGGGGTCTGTCTCTGACCCTCTGAGGGGGGGTGTGGCCTTTGTGTAATGAATGACCTAGGTAGGTACCTGCTAGTATAGCTCCCTGGCTCTGCTCTGAGGGATCCCCAGGAGCTACATCCTCAGCCTACAAACAGCCCAGCAGCCTACTGCCTACTTGCACGCCCACTGTCTCTACCTACCCCTGAACTCATTCATCCAACACATGTTCATCAGCAACACCACACTGAAAGGCAGAACAGGCCTCCAATTGTCAGTCCCCAAAAGAAAAGTGAACCCTGAGAGACACTGCAGGCTGGGTCCCCAGACTGAACCAAGCTTAGAACCCATGACCTAGCTGCCTTCTTCTGCCTGACTGTGCCCAGGTTCACCAGCTCCTGGATGAAGGTCGCCTGGAGTTTGTTCTCGGAGGCCAGGTCATGCACGATGAAGCCGTGACCCACCTGGATGATGAGATCCTACAGCTTACAGGTTTGGCTTGGCTCACAGTTTCTGAGAGTTCAGCCTAGAGTCCCTGGCTCTGTTGATTCTGGGCCTGTGTTGAGGCAGGATGTCACAGCAGTGGGAGCATGTAGAGGAGGATGCTTTTGAGTTCAGGGTGGACAGAGAGCAAAGGAACAGAAAGGGGCAAGAAGCCCCTAGAACCTGCCCCAGTGGACTATTCTCCTAGCCAGGCCCTACATTCTAAAGTTTCCATTACCTTCCAGAATGGTTCCACCAGCTGGGACCAAGCCCCCAGCACATGAGCCTGAGGGGGAGATTTCACATTCAAATCATAACAGCCACCGTGACACCTTGGGGCCTTTATGGGGGTGTGTGTCTGGCCCCCATGTTCTGAGCTCTGCCTACATCTCTTAGCAGAGCACTTTGGCTGGAGAAACAGTGATCTAGGGCCACAGAGAGTGGAATGGAGGGGTTAAGAGTCAGGTGACCTGGGCCCATCATAGCCCCATGGGAGTCCTGCCTATGACTCTGGGCAAAGGATATAACTTCATGCCTCAGCTTCCTCACTGAGAGATTAGTTTGATGGCAATGCCTTCCTCAAAGGGTTCTTTTATAATTCATAAAAGGCACTCTAAGTGGAACATATGGTTCCCTAATGAATACTCAATAAATGTTATCTGCCTTTGCCATTATGAACACCATCATTGCCATCACACCTGTTCCATCGCCATGATCACCACCACAGTCACCATCACCACCATCACTGCTCTCACCATCACTACAACCATCACACCTCCTCCATCACCATGATCACCACTGTGGTCACCATCATTACCACCATCATCACCATCACACCTCCTCCATCACCATGGTCACCACTGTGGTCACCATCATTACCACCATCATCACCATCACACCTCCTCCATCACCATGGTCACCACTGTGGTCACCATCATTACCACCATCATCACCATCACCCCTCCTCCATCACCATGGTCACCACTGTGGTCACCATCATTACCACCATCACACCTCCTCCATCACCATGGTCACCACTGTGGTCACCATCATCACCATCACACCTCCTCCATCACCATGGTCACTACCACCATTGCCTTCACTATCCCAACACCACCATCACCACCACTACCATCACTACCACTATCACCACCATTATTACCACCATCACCACCCCACCAGCATTACTACCATTATCATCACCACCATCACTACCATCGCTACCACCATCATGACTATCAGCACCACCACTGTTATAACATACCACGTCCCCCTCCTCGCTGTCACCACCTGCAGTTACAGTGGGCTAGTTTGCTTGCCCAGCCCTGATGACAGCTAAGGAGGAAATCCTGGAATTCTTAGTGTCATTTTGCACATGTTAAAACAGACCCAGAGATGAAGTGACTCTGTTAGCAGCCAGTGGCCAGTATGAGAATGGAGGTCTCATGACTAAGCACCAAGTCCCAAGGTCTCTCCACTGCATTGTGGACCCTAGTTTCCCTTGGTAGAACACCACGTGCTCTAAGAGATGTTTACACCCCTCCCGGCTCTCTGTGAATTAAGAGGAGACCTTCCCTTGATGTCTAGCAGGCTTAGCCCATGTGTGTTACTGGCGGTCTCTATGATCTATGCTGTTAAAAGATAAATTTGAGCACATTAAAATCGTAGCTTATTTGTACAAAGAGTAGTTCATGAATCAGGCAACACCAGACTGCAGGTGATTCAGGGACTCGCTGGTGGAGATGAGGGCAGAACTTTAAGAGTCCCAGAAGTAAGACAAAATGGTTGGCTTCTTCAAATGGGCTCCCTGGCGGGTCCTGGGGGGTGAGCTTTCACTTGCCGTTTGTGCTGAGTTGGACTTTTGTTCATTCACATGCCCTCCCCAGGCTGTGGAGATGTCGAGCCTCAATGCCACTGACCTGTCAGTCAGTGCTCAGGCCTGCTCTTTGGCCATGCTGACTGGAAGGAAAATGTCTGACGGGAGGCAGTGAGCAGGTCTTTGGCTTAGACCCACTACTGCCCTTGCCAGAGGCTGGCACTGTGCCCCAAACCATGGAGGCTCTGCCGGTGTGGGAACAGTACAGGGAGCTCATCTGCCCTCGGCATGCTGCTGTTGACCATGCAATCTCTTGCTCTGTCCTCCCAGACTGCCCTGCTGGCAGAGCTGCTGGTCCACACCCACTCTGCTCCTGACCCACCCCACCGCACTCCTCCCCGGCCCTCCTGCCCTCCTGACCTGCTCTCTGCTTCCATCTTGCTTATAGGTTGACTTGTTACCCTGCTTCTGAATCCCAGACATCACCTGGGATGTGATGATCCCAGGCCTAGGGGTTCACTTTGTGCCCCAATTATACCACACAGACTACAACCCATTGAGTGCAGGGAGCTGACTGTTTGTGGCAGGGCTCAGGGACACTCGTCAGTGGCTCATTCAATGGTGGGAGTTTCTTCTCCTGCAGCCCTGAGCCCAATGATGCTCCCTTGTGGGGATTTCAAAATAGTGAATATGAATGAATGAATGAATGAATGAATGAATGGTTGGATGTGTCTGACCTGGAGCTTTTGCTATGTGACAAATTATCCCCCAATTTAGTAACCTCCAACAGCAAACATTTAGTATGTCCAGCTTCTGGCTGAGGAGTTCAGGAGAAGCAGATTGCCCATGGCGTTCAGCTCAGGGTCTCTTGAGTTGCTGTCAGGGTGTCAGGTGGGGTGGCATCTGAGGGCTAGAGAAGCCACTTCCAAGCTTCATCACCTGGCCCTGAGGGAAATGAGCCAGACACAGAGGAGTATTACACGGTCCCACTCAGGGGAGTCCCTGAAGCCACCACATCCACAGAGACTGCGGAATGCTGCTGCTTTGGGGCTGGGAAGGCGGCATATAATGGAAAGTTTCAGTTTTACAAGACGGAAGGTTCTAGAGCTGAATGGTGGTGTGTGTGAATGCAGGTAATACCTCTGAACTGTGCATTTGGAAACTGGTCATGAATTGTATGCAATGTGTGCACGTAAGGGTTAAAACCAGCTGGGTGTGGTGGCGCACGCCTTTAATCCCAGCACTCAGGAGGCAGAGGCAGGTGGATCTCTGTGACTTTAAGATCACCCTGGTCTCCAGAGTTCCAGGCCAGCTGGGGCTACAGGGAGACCCTTTCTCAAAAGGGAGAGAGAGAGAGAGAGAGAGAGAGAGAGAGAGAGAGAGAGAGAGAGTTAAAACCTAGGGACTGGAGAAATGGCTCAGTGGTTAAAAGCAGTGGCTGCTCTTGCATAGGACCTGGGTTCAATTTCCAGCACCCACATGGTGGCTGACAACCATCCACAGCTCCAGTTCCAGGGGATCCACCACCCTCTTCTGACCTCTGCGAGCATTGCATGACACAGGTGCACTTAAACACCCACAGGCAATACACTCAGACACAAAAAGTAAGAATAAAAAATAAAATATTTTTTAAAAAGAGTTAAAACCTAGCCATGCATGGTAGCACATGCCTTTAATCCCAGCACTCAGGAGGCAGAGGCAGGCAGATCTCTGGTCTACATAGCAAGTTCCAGACCTGCTGGGGGTGCGGAGAGACCATGTCTCAAAAAAGGAAAGAGTTAAAACTTAAAACCTTCCTCTGCAGCCCATGTGACCTGTGGCCTGGTAGCTGGTATTACAGTCTTCTAGGCTTGAAGGGTACCCCCGTGAACAGAGAGTGAAGGGTGCCCAGGGCAGCCCACCCAGGCGACGCTGTCTTTGCAGAAGGACACGGCTTCCTCTACGAAACATTTGGAACCCGGCCACAGTTCTCCTGGCATGTGGACCCGTTCGGTGCATCAGCCACAACCCCCACCCTGTTTGCCCTGGCAGGCTTCAATGCCCATCTCATCTCCCGGATCGACTACAACCTCAAGGACGCCATGCAAGAGACCCAGGTGTGTCCTGTGCCACATGTGCTGTCCCTTCCTGCTGCTCCTGCCCTTCACTGTGTCTTAGAGGACTTTGTGGCAAGCGCCTGGCCGCCCAGGCCGGACTCCTGCAGCTTCCTCCAGGGATGGTCTCCTGCCTGAAGGCCTTCCTACCCTTACCTGGGCCAGGGCTAGGCTGACTCCTTTCCTAGGCTTGACCTTCCAGCAGAGCAGAGCTGCTCCAGAGCCACAGGCAGGGCCTGTTCAGCTGGGACTGTCGGGAGAGGTGGCTTAGCTCTATGGCTGTATGTAGCTGTGGTAGAAATGGACCAGTGGTGACACAGAGCTACAGTCGGTGACTCCTTTGATCCTGCCCTAGGAAGGACCAGGCCTGGTGCCAGCTGCATCTCCATCAGCCCTGGAGCCGCCTGGGAGGTGGGATGTCAGTTACACCTGGGCCTTAGCCAGCAGACATGTGGCCGCACAGCTCTAGAGGCTGCAGGTGCCAGGTCAGGTTGGGAGAGGTGCTGTCCTGAAGATTGTGGGGGAGGGTCTCCCCTAGGCCTCCCTCCTTGGCACGCAGGTGGCCGTTTTCTCCCTAGCCTCCGCCATGGGTTCCTGTGTCTGCACCCCACCCCATACTTCCCTTTAAACGACTTCTCTTCTCGTGCCCTCCCCTCCCTCTCCTCATCTGTCCTCCCTTCCTTTATTCTGTTCTGGTGGTGCTGGTGGTTAAAGCCAGGGCCTTGCAGTTGTAGACAAGTTTTCTGCCACAGAGCTATACCCCCTTCATGTATAAACATCCATCCTGTGTTAGGATCCTTCTTAATGACCTCATGTTGACATGGCCTAGCCACACAGACCCCCCCACATATCAAGATGCTAATGATTAGGACTTTAGCATATCTTTGTGCAGGGCACAATTATAGTTATACCCATCTTACAGATGAGGAGAGCAAGGCCCCAGAGGGTAAGGTATGCTGTCCAGGGTTGCCCTCAGGGAGCAGTGGCAGAGCTGGCGACCAAGAGTTATACAGAGGTAGACTTGGGCTCCAGGGCAGCAAGACAGGAACAATTTATTATCACCTATGAAGTGCAGGCTGCCTTTCCTGAGCCTGAGAACAGTCCCCTCTACCCCCCACCATTTCACCTGTTATGCCCTGTGTTTCACTCAGAAACCAGGTCACAGAGGGTGCATGAGCTTGTGTGGGGCCCCAAGGCAGTGTTCTACAGAACTGGCTCTGGAACCCTGAGTGCATTCTAGCCATCCGAACATCTGAGAGCTGAACCACACAGAAATGAGCGGTCTGTGCCTGTGGGTGTTCAAGCAGAGTAGAATCAGAGTCTCCATGAGGCTTGGCCCAGGGAAAACTGAGGAGCAGTGAGGGGCGTGCACAGCTCCAGGAGGAGCCACAAGTGGCTCTGGGAGCCCCTGGTATGAAGGAAACTTATAAGGGCACAGGGAGAGGTCTCATCTTTGAGCCACTGAGGAGAAGGCAGGCCGTGGAGGTGCGGGGGCTGGGGAGGCGGAGCCAGGGCACCCGTGAGCTTTATCCTTCCCCCTCACCTGTTCTTTTGGGTTCACAGGGGCTGCAGTTTGTATGGCGTGGGTCCCCGTCCCTGTCAGAGCAGCAAGAGATCTTCACACACGTCATGGACCAGTACAGCTACTGCACCCCCTCCCACATCCCCTTCTCCAACAGGTGGGTGCCCCTGTCTGTCTGCCGCCCCTGCCCACTTGTGTTGGGTGGTAGTGGCACATGCTTATAATCCTTGTGTTGGGAAGGCAGAGATAGGAGAATCTTTGGAACTGGATGGCGGGACAGCCTAGCCAAACCAGCCAGCTCCAGGCCAGCAAGAGGCCCTATCCCCAAAAGCAGGATGGATGGCTCCCACAGTGCCATGCCTGAGGTTTCCTCTAGCCTCCTTATGCATGCACACACATATGCACACACACTCGCACGTGTGTCCATGCACCCGCATCTGAGCCTCATTGGGCCGTCATGGTGAGGAAGCTAAGACCATGTGGTGATGTCCCACCTGACCCTGAGCCTCTGCCCTCCCTCAGGTCCGGATTCTATTGGAACGGTATAGCCGTCTTCCCACAGCCGCCCCCAGATGGCGTGTATCCCAACATGAGTGAGCCCGTCACCCCAGCCAACGTACACCTCTATGCCGAGGCTCTGGTGGCCAACGTGAAGCAGAGGGCTGCATGGTTCCAGACTCCTCACGTCCTCTGGCCCTGGGTATGGCACACCCCAAGTCCATGTGTCCTCCACACAGTCCTAGTCTACCTTGTACCCCGGGTATGGCCCTTCTTCAGAAGCAGCCTGTGCATGAGGCCAACTCGAACCTGGCCCATCTTTACCCAGCCATTACTGCTCCTTCCTTCCCTGCAAACCCCTGGGCCTCACCCACTCTCCCATCCTGGGTGCCCCTGAAGCCTATCAGCTGACAGAAGCCCCAGACATACTATCCCATGCCTCACTTCCCTTTGCGTTGTTTGGGACTGAGGCCAGGGCTGGAAGCTGATTCCAATGTGGCCTCTGCGTGCATCTATTTCCTTATGTGTGAAATGGGTTGACGTTCATGAGATGGGTGTCCCCCAGAAACAGTGCCACACCTCATCATCATCACTGACCTTTAGTGAGCACCACTGTGAGCCAGGCACTGACTGCTCTGTTTTTTCTCATCCATCTAACTGGCATCACGGGGACCCAGCAGGGAGGCATTGCTGGTATCCATTTTGTAGTTGAAGGACTGAGGCTCAGAGACATCAAAGAATTGTTCTGAGGCTGCACAGCTGTTTAGCAGAGCGCGTAGAAAGAGCTGGTGTTTGTGTTCAGACCTGTCCAGCGTGCCTTCCTAACTCATGACCGCTGGAGGTCAGGATGTGTCAGGGCTGTGTGAAAATTATATTATCACAATTGGTCCTGGTGATAGTTACTTAAGAGAGGCCCAGGGCAGACAGCAACGGGGGCCATTCTGGGGCCCTGGTTGGCCAGGGACAGTGTATAAGCCACTGTTGGGGCAGAGATGAGCCCTCCTGACAGGGCAAGGGCTCTGCTACCAGAGGTCCATGCCATGACCCGTGTCCTCCTGCAGGGGTGTGACAAGCAGTTCTTCAATGCCTCAGTGCAGTTTGCCAACATGGACCCCCTGCTGGACTACATCAACAGCCACTCCTCCCAGTTCGGTGTCTTGGTGCAGTATGCCACGCTGGACGATTACTTCCGTGCCCTGCACTCCCTCAACATAACCTGGCACGTCCGTGACCACCACGACTTCCTGCCGTATTCCTCAGGTATGAGCCTCGGGAGGTCGGGGGTGATTTAACACCAGGGAGGACAAGACCTTCTCCTTCCTTGGTGTGGGCTTGGCATGATTTTCATGCCTACAAGGGGGTGTCAGGCAGGTCCCCACCTGCTCTCCCCACCCTAGACAGCCTAAGCACTTCACACAGCCCCTCCCCCAGCCTCAGCTGCTCACCATCACCCGCAGCTCCACCCACTCATCCTGTATGCCCCTCCTCACACCAAGGCTGGGCAGCCCAGTGCCTCCTCTGTTTCAGAAGTCACACACTTTCTTCTAGCTCTGCCCAGTCTTTGTCATCGTGAGGGACCTCGTCTGCTTCCTGCCTGTGTCCTCAGACCCTAGGCTGAGCAGACCGCAGCCTCCAAGCTCTGCTCCCAGACTGCGCAAAGTCTAGAACCCGCCCTGCCTCACAGTGGGGACACCAGTGGTACCACTGTGCCTGGCAGTGATTGTGACCCCTCCAATCCAGGCTCTAGAGGCTCCTTCCAGGCATGCAAGATGCAGAGAAGGCAGGCAACATCAGCACCACCAGGCCCTGTGTGTGCCCCTGCTGGTGGTGCCTGCAGGCCCATCTCCTCTGTTTAGCTACCAGCAGAGGACCAAGGCAGGTAGAAAAAGCTCTCAGGCCACCACTGGGGTCTGGCTTCTTTGATATGGGGTTGTGGGGCCATCTTGGTGATAGAGCACTTGTCTGGTATGCAGAAGGGCTAGGCTCCAGTCCCAACACTAAAAACAAATTGTTGCATGTGATGTTACAGCCTCTGAAGGGTCCTATGGCCCCACTCTGCCTCCACCCAGATGGAGGACCCCAGACAGGGTGGGTAGGATGGTGACTGGCACACTTCAAGTAGGATAGCTAGTGACCAGAACATAGTAGGGCCTGCCAGTGGGCCTTGCCCAGCACCGGCACTCCCACACCAGTCTATCAGTTCAAGTCCAGGAGGAGGAGGCAGAAGCTTGGGGGTACCTGCCAGCTGGCCACTAACCACCATGTGGTCAGGGCACCTGGAACAAGCCTGCCCCACCATACCCTACCTTCCTATCCACAGTGACAGCAGAGCATCCCAATCCCTCCCACTTTATTTCATCAGTGAAGGGGTTTTAGAGAGTTAGAGGAGGAACCCTGTGAAGGATTGGTGGGGTCCACGTCCCCTCTCCCCATTTCCTTCCCTTCCACTACATAGATGGGCTCCAGCTACAAGGTTCCTTGGGGCCTGGGCTACCCTGGCCCCCAAGACTTGACTCTGTTAAGTCTGCACGGAAAAGCTGGGGTGGGGCTGCTGTAACTCTCAGCACCCTGTGTTTTGTACCACATGGATGTCAGGCATTCCCAGCACACTTGAGGAGGACGGGGACAAGAATGGGCCTAGCCGGGGCTGGAGAGATGGCACAGCGGTTAAGAACACTGACTGTTCTTGCAGAAGACCCAGGTTCTAATCCCAGCACCCACATGGCAGCTAACAACTGTCCGTAACTGCAGTTCCAGGGGATCCGACAGCCTCTTCTGTCCTCCACGGGCATCGCACGACATGGGTGCACTTACCTACATGCAGGCAATACATGCATACACATAAAATAAAAATAATAAAATATTTGAAAAACAATAAACGAAAATAAAAATAAAAGAAGAATGGGCATAGCCACAGCCATGGCAGGAGGGGAGGCATCGTGTGGGTGTACTTACAGTCGGTGGGAGAGGGTCCATCTATGGGTATGGTTACAGGCAGGGGGTGATGTCATGCGAGTGTGGCTAAATGGAAGTGGAAGTGGGTGGAAGTCAGGGTGGGGGGCCTGGTTTACAATTCCAAGCCTTCTAACTACTCAGTTTGGTGATGGAGCTATGGGGCACCCTGTTCAACCACCTGGAGCCTTTTCTCAGAGCCATGTGGCCGCTCATTAGAGTCTGGCCAGAGGAGCAAATAGGAAACAGAAGCCTCAGACTAGACCCGGGAAGAGCCAGAGTGTAGAAACTACCAGAGCCTGAGACCCAACTTCTGACTCAACCCAGCTGCTGCCTCCAGCTCTGAACCCCTAGGCAACCCATGTGGTATCTTTCAGTGCCCACCTCCCCCTGTCCCATCAGCGTCCACCTCTGCCTCCTCCCATCAGCTCCCACCTCTGCCCCCTCCCATGGGCTTCAGAAGGGGCCCTGCTGACACACAGGCCTTTCCCAGGACTTCCTGGAGCCCGCAGAGTCATGTACAACAAAAGCTGCTGTGGATTTAAAGCTCTTCACCACTGTGTGCTGCCCACCAAGGCCCAATGCCATTCTCCTTCCCAAGGTTTCCCAGCCTCACCCAGTATGCTGACCCCTCAGCCTCACCGTGTTTACTGACCCCTCAGCCTCACCCAGTATGCTGACCCCTCAGCCTCACCGTGTTTACTGACCCCTCAGCCTCACCCAGTATGCTGACCCCTCAGCCTCACCGTGTTTACTGACCCCTCAGCCTCACCCAGTATGCTGACCCCTCAGCCTCACCCTGTATGCTGACCCCTCAGCCTCACTCTGTGTACTTACCTCCCAGAACCACAGCAGGCCTGGACAGGTTTCTATTCATCCCGAAGCATGCTCAAGGGGCTAGCACGGCGAGCCAGCGCCCTACTGTATGCTGGGGAGTCCATGTTCACACGCTACATGTGGCCGGCCTCCCACGGGACTCTGGACCCTGTCTGGGCCCTGCAGCAGCTCCAGCACCTCCGCTGGGCCGTGTCTGAGGTAAGATCACCATGCAGCCTCAGTGTGGTTGGACCCTCCTGTGCTGTATGCTTTCCACCCTTGTCCTAAAACAAATCCTCAACCCCAGTTGGAGACTCCACTTTACAGGAGAGAAAGCTGAGGCCCCTCTGGTCATAAGGCTGATACAAGATGAAACTGGGCCACAGACGGACCCACGGTCTCATGGCTCCTAGAGGGTGGCTTCCTTAAGCTTCATGCCTGATTTTACAAAGGGGAATAAAGAATAAAACGCCATTAGGACCAGATAGTCCTGCCTGGCTCCAAAGCTCAGCTTAGCTGTGTGGCCTTGGGCTCATAATTTTCACTCTCTGAGCCCCAGTTTCCTCCCTGTGAACTTTCACTCTGGAGGATGCTGGGACAATAGAATGGCAGGACAGCCACCTGGGCTTGTCCCGTGGGGAGGCCAAGTTTTCTAGCTTGTCGCTCCCCGCCAATAAAGTGGCCAGGCTAGCAGTCCATTTTATAGTCGCCTAGGGCTAAGTGTTCTAGGAGCTGTGTTGGGAAGAAGCAGGTGGACTTTAGAGCCCATCAGGGCAATGGGCTGAAGTGGCTTCATCCAGGGAGCCTCATTCTCTCCCTCCGTGAAAAGGAGACCATTCACCTCTCCCGGGCTCCAAGGAGTGAGAACATCACACTATATAGAGTGCCAGGAGGGCAAGGAAGATGATGGTGAGGGGAAACCGGGTCCCTTCTGGAAGTGTTCCCCTTGTGAGATGGAGGACTAGGACACGGCATGTCTGTGACGTCAGGAGCGGGTGTGCTGTTCTTCAGCCTCTTGCCTCAGTTTCCTCTTCTGTAAGATGGAAGGGATGCCCCCTATCCTTTGCGCTCTGTAGAGCCTCCCAGAGCCAGGTCCTGATCCCCTTCTCTGTTGACTCCGGTGACCACAGGTCCAACACCACGATGCCATCACCGGCACTGAGTCCCCCAAGGTGAACAACATGTACATGGATCATCTGGTCACAGGGGTGCTGGGTGTGCGCAAGCTGATGGCCTCCATCATCCTGGACAGGCGCCCGGCAGCCAGCGCAGGTAAGTAAGGCTCCTCCAGGGAGGTAGTGGCTCTACTCTGAAGAGAGCCAGGGCACTGGAGACCAGAGCCTCATGCTCAGTCCACAAGTCTGTGAACCCCATACCCATGGTGTGACCTTGCCAGTGGGTCCAGTGCTCTGAGTCTGCTTCCTTATCCTGGAAACCAGGAAGGCCTGACATCACAGTTGGGACTGAGTAAGAATGGCTAATTTGTTCTGAGCCTTCACTAAGCTCGAAATGCTCCCCATGGGGTGTTTAGTTTAATGCTTCACACAGTCTCTATAAGATAGGGGCTCATTTCTGAGCTGAGGGATCATGTCTTGGCTCAGGGTAACTAGCTAGGAAGCAGAAGAGCTGGAATTTGAATCCATCACCTTTGATGCCCTGCTGTGTTGTCTGGCTCAGCCTCACCTGGTCCCAGCTTTCCTCCCGAGCAGAGCTGGGCTGTGGATCACCTCAGAGCAGTCATGACCCAGCGTCTTTGTCTATGAAGTGTCACACATCCAAAGTGACAAGTGGGGAGTTCAAAACCAGGAAAATCCTGGTCTCTACATACACACAAGGTCACGGGTCCCTGTGTCCTGTCCCCATCATTCTTCACTTCTTTCTGTTTTTCTCTTGCCCCCTCAGCCTTCCCTCTTCCCTAGCAGAGCTGTGCCTCTCACCTGCCCTGGCCTCACCCCCACCCCACCCGTGTGTCTGTGTGTGTGTGTGTGTGTGTGTGTGTATATATCCCAAAACAGCCTGTAGCTTCTAACTTGGGCTCCTGCCCTGGGGACACCAGTCTGGTGGGACAGACATTTGCAGAAAGAGAGTGGTAACCTGGGCTGTAACGTACCGGACAGGTGGGTCAGTCAGGTGATCTGTGTTGTTCCATGAGCACACAGAAGGCTTCCCCCCAGCAGGGAGTCGGTAGAGAACCACTACAGTGGCCCAAGTGTGCCTTGCTTGGTGGGGAACCTTGCTCTCCTGAAGGATGGTGATACCGACCAGTGACAGAGTCTTGGAACCTGGAACTTGTATCTTTTCAACAAGCCATTTATTTCAAAATTCAGACAATTTTTATACATCCCAAAGAACTAGCAGTCACGTGGGATATGGCAGTCACATACAAAGATTTAGGGTACAAAGAAGCAGGACATTTAGTCTGTTAGTTGGCGCCAGAAGGATTCTTAAACTTTCACTCAAGGTTATCAATGCCCATTCAGTCATTTATTG